TCACACATCGAAGAAGTCGAGGTGTGCTCCTGAGGAGAAGTTATTGTCCAGCAGCAGCTTCATCAGTTTGGCTGCAGATTCATGGCAGGGCATGGGATTATGATTGACATTTGTTAACCTCAGGATTTCTTTCTGCATATCTGTGTCCATTGGACCTGAAGGAAACCAAAAGAATGAGCTGGTTAGAAAATAACACGTTTTGCCTCTTGCACTCCATATTACAAGCATAGACGGTTAAATACAGTGATACAGCAGGCCAGCTGTTATAGGGATTATGGAAAGGGGGGTGACATTTTCAAATTGGGCACATCACTCATGGCTCTGGACAACATTTCCATCACTTACCTGAACAAATATTTCAACCTCCCTGAAGTAAGTGTAAACCGTAAAGAAAAAAGAAAAAAAAAATGATATCCTTTAACTCTGTTTTTGTACAACACAGATTTGTTGTTTACAATGTCATATTATCAACATGTTACATAGGCCGGGGTCATGTACCCTTCGACCCCACAGTACATCCTTTCATCTTCATTTTTTTCTCAGTATCACTGGACACTGGAGTAAATACAAAATTTGGCCAAGGAACATTTAAAAAATATATATATATGTGGGATAACGTAGCACATTTATAATAACATTGTTCAATGACTATTGTCCCTGTTAAAAAGGGACAATACTCTCCCTTGTTTTCTATAATTTTTAAATTAACTTTAACACATAATTGTTTTGCATACCTCTGGTCAATATATAAAGTGTATATACCTGGAGAGTAGCTGAGGACTTTGACATGTTGCTGTTCCTTGGCCAGCACCGAGAACATCATATTCCTGGCTGCTTTGGCGGTGCAGTATAGCACCCAGGAGGGTAAGGCCTGCAGTGCAAACATAGACGAGAGGTTTACCACACTCCATCGTAGGCCCGGCCTGCAGGGACACAACTGCAGGATCCCTGCTGTCAGAGCCAGAGGGGAGCTTACGTTGAGGGACAGATAGGAATTCACCTCATCAGGATTGGTGAAAGTCTCAAACTTGGCAATGTCGCCCAAAGAGGCTATAAGGGTAGAGAGAGAGAGGAGATGTTACACATAAAAAGGGGTAAACATGCGTGTTGACATGACAATATGGGTCAACACACTACAAAAACCCGAAATCTTGCCAAGTATATTTGTCTAATATCTAGTCAGAATTTGTCTTTACACTTGCTATAAGACATAATAACTTCAGAAGTAACAATGCAGTGAGATATCGGGTCTTGTTTTAGACAATGCATCATCTTGTTAAGTCAATCTTATTTTGAGTTGTATCTCAGATTGAATGTTTTTTTTCTCCACATATTTATTGGAAAATCACCAACTAACATCAGAAAACAGAAACCTTTTGAGCATTTGCGGCTTATATTGTAACACAGCATTTCCTGATTCTGGTCATATATAGTTTCCCCAGCTAATTACAAGATCTGATTTATCTAAATATCCCTTCTTATTTCAATAAATCTTACCAAGCTAATTTCCACTTGTTCTATTGGCAGATTGTTGTACCTATTTCAAGTGAAAACACCTTGTTTTCATTATTTTTTCAACTTGTTTTTGGAGCAGCATTTTTTCCAGTGCATACAAAATCAGCAGTGAGTAGGCTGCTTGGTGACAGATTCAAACAGAGAAAGTGACCCACCAGCGTTGTTGATCAGAAGCACATGTTCTATTTCATCTACAGCTTCCTGCCTTGCCACCCTGACCGTTTCATCCACACCCTCTTTGGTCCTCAGATCCACAGTGACGCAGTGAACCACGAGCTGCTGTTCCTCAGTGGCACTCTGCAGCTCTTCCTTCATCTCCTGCAGCAGAGGCCCTGAGCGAGCCACCAGCAGGAGGACCGAGCGGGGCTCCAGATAGCAGGACACCTGGATGGACATTTGATTATTTGCTTTTCTTTCTTTAAAATATTTTTTTCTTCCTACAAGTTGATCACTTACTTGATATGCCAGCGCCTGTCCGAATCCCTTAGAGGCTCCAGTGATGATGCAGATTCCCCGGCCCAGAGTCCTGGGGTTTGTGGAGTTAATGTCTGACATCTGCACAGATTTTCTCGGGTGATAATGTGAAATGAGAGACACTAACCCACTGCTTTTGTCAAGATGGGAACAACGGGCTGCTTTTATAACCCAACATGAGGCAGAACTAATGCATTGCATGTGATGTATTCATTTCACAGTGAGAGGAGAATTAGGAGACGATAGTTCCACATTGGTAAATTAGGCAACTACATTCAAAGGCTTCTAAAGAAAACTTAAAAGATTTTTTTTGATTCAGAATAATGATATTGATCAAATTCAAATGGGTTACATTTTTTAAAAAAAAGCTTTTGTAGTAATATAATTTAAATAAACACCTTAACAAGCAATTTCTAAGATGTTTTATAAAGAAAACGCATGTTAAATAGATTTTTAGAAAACTAAAAGAAAATCAGTGACCAGATCGGATAATAAAACAGAAAAAACATGGATTAGGACAATAAATATGACTTAACACAAGACATTCCAAAACAGTATGGCTCTGAGTTTAAAACAATTATGGTTTTAGATGAAAGTGTGAAATGTGTTCCTTGCATTTACGTCAGTGAACATCACTGCCAAGCTGTGTTAAACTGAAGAAATACTCTGGCTTGTGGATTGTGTGTTAACTGACTAACATAATCAATTAAAATAACTTGAGGCAGCCTCTAAAGTTCAGCATGAAAAAATAAACCATATGAGCTAGATACAACAATGGGAAGCAGACTTACTCTGAACCCGAGACTTCTTAAAGCATTGCTTGAAGCAAATAGAGATAACAAATAATTATTTGAAATATTTCTCAGCACAGAGAGATAAGCATCAATCTTGAGACACCAAAAATATAATGACCGAAGTCTTGTGCCACTAAATGACTAATCCTACCATACCATTTAATGTAATTGTATAGCAGTAGTTTGGCATTTGGTAATCTTCTGACCCACTTTTGACCTTCTCATGGGTTCATGAAAATATTTTCTTTTCATTTTGCTTTGATAGCATTAACCCCAAACACATAAAATGTTGAACCGAGAAACTGACATTAAAGGACATAAAGGAGATGCAGAGAAGACATATATGACATTTTGGGTTTCTTAATAAAAAGCTAAATGTATTGATTGATTCAGCACACAGACGCAACACAAATAAGTGGGTGACAAAGAGCCGGGAAGCAATATACAGCGGCTAGGCTGAATGTGTGAAATCATAGCGCCTTCTAGTGGCAGCGGGGACACCTGAGCGTAAATTAAGCTTTATTGCAACTGTGAAAACCACACTACAGGCTTTCAGCAAATACGGAACAACACTGCCTCCTTATGGACAGTTGATTGCAAGTGCAACAGCGAAAGAGGCTTCTTCTTAAGAGATTTCCAATTCAAAAGTATGTAAAGATTGCATTGGCCTAGAGATGAATGGTCAACCACACTGTAGAACAACACTTGCTTCCCTCCTCACATTACTACCAGACTGTTCTGGGGAGTAAGTAAATGCATCATATCAGAGCATCATAGGGTTATAACTCTTGAGAGTTGGAAAAACTGAACTGAAATAACCCTTTATGACACACACCACCGTATTATCTATGTATGTAGGACCTTTTTGTACCCATAAAATAAATATTGTTTTTATATACTCAACTCATGTGTGCTTTTGCTCTTGGATGCTCCTTCCTCATCCTGCAGGGAGGGGGCACACTGGAGCTAACCAGAGCTCTACAATAAAGGGCTTCTCACAAGATAAAAATACATTGAAAAAAAACAAGAACAAATAATCATCAGTATTATTACATTTTTCGAACCACCAGTTAGAACAAAGATTTTGAGTGATACAAAATGTAAATTACAATTTAAAAAATGTTCCCCCAATATATATAATACTGCTACTTCATGTATTCACATACTTTTATAATGCTGCTACTTATTATTTTACTAGTATTTGTTTGATTTTATAAACGTATGCTTGTCTCTTTATTTTATAAGTTAGCCTACTTATAGAGGTTTGTCTTTAATGTCCACTGTCCCTTTGCTGGAACAATGTATATTTCCCCACTGTGGGATCAATAAAGGATTTCTGATTGTTATTCTGATTCTGATAAAAGAAAATGGGGGAAAGAAAACTGCTATGCAACAAAAGGTCAGGTCACATAGTCTATACCACAGAAATAATTTCAAAGTAAAGACAACAAGTAAAGACAACCTGCCCAATATGAGATGACTTGTGTGACCAGAAAAAGTCAGTGATTGGACCGAGCATCATCCAAAATATGAAAATCTGCTTTTCCTTGTCATTACTTGAATAATTTCAATGTATTTCTTATAGTTTCTCATCCATAATTAACTGCAAAGTTGCAATCACAATGGATACAAAAATAAGGTCCAATTCACCAACTTCAGCCCATACATTTCTGATTTAAAATGAATGCATTATTATCAATAATGTAATGTTAAGGGATGTTTTCCTGCAGTGCGGAGTACTTTTAGTTTTAACACTTTAAATAAATGTTCCTGATTCTACCCTTTTAGTAATGTAACCATTTTGATGCATGACTTTTACTTTTGATTTTCAGAGAGATATTAGTAACTTTAGTTATATATATATGGATCCAAATTATTGCACCATTCAGGATGTATGGCTGTCCCCAAACTGAGATGCCAAAAAATACTTAAACAACAATACAAATGTTTTTTGTTCTTCTAATGACATCAATTATGATGATTTTTCAGTTACAGGATATTAGAAAAAATATAATTAGAACAAATAATTGTCTGTTGATGCATCCAGCATGACTGTTTCCATTGAACGTCTCATCCATCCACCCAGGGGGCTGCATATGTGACTCTATAGGCTTTTCCCCAGGGAGACCACTGGATGAAAGCCAAAAGGGGGCGTTTGCATCATGCTACCGGAGGGGCGGGGCCAGAGGTGGGTGTGTGTCTCTCAGCTGATGCGCGTATCAACCGACCGACTCCATCATCAGCATCCGACGGTGACAGCGGTCGAAGACAGCATCCCTAATTTTACCGAGCCACGGTAACATCGCATGACCACAGAGAGGCCAGCCGACCGGGACTGACGGTGCTTCTTGTGACACTAATATTTATTGAGGCTGCCATCTTACAAAACGCCGAGCTGCAAAATAGTGAGTAGCCTTTGATGATGGACCTCCAGGATGCTACAATCGGTAAATCAAAGCTACTGTCGTCAATGTCAATGACGCGGTGCATTTTTTATGTGGATGTATTTTTGGATTCGGCGAGGGTCGTGCGTGTGTTTCTTGTCATGGGGCCTAGCGAGTAATTGTTTGGGAGCGCAGTGGATTCAGGGCTTGATGCGGATGCTGCTAAAGCCGCCCTTGCCGCCCAGGGATGCAGAGAAAAAGGGAGAGAGAGGGGGAGTCGTGAGGAGAGGGGATTGAGGCAGAGCCGCAGATACATGGCAGTGCTTTTTACTACTACTACTATTCACCCAAGTGGAAGTAATCCTCTAGTAAATGGGCTGGGGAAGGGAGGTGCACTGGCATGACTCTCTCTATCTATCTATCTATATCTATCTATCTATGCTGCTGTATACATTTGGATATGTCATATGTGAGCTCGATAATATGTAACGTTTTTGAGGGCATACATATATAAAGCTTGTATACAAACATATTTATTTTGTAATACTGTACACAAACTTGAATGTGCCAAGCTAATTTTACCAGTTTATTTGTGTACCATTGTCTAAAACTTATTTGACAGTCCTGCAATATATCTCGCCATTAAAAAGTTTATATATTCTGTATTAGTTGTAGCTGCAGTTTGTGGCGATGTTGACTTGTATTGTGCTACACAGTGAATGGCTTACGTGAAAGAAAAAGTTGTACATGACAAAGGTCCCAGACTGGACTTAAACGCATGGATGTTACCGTTATGTGATCAGCAGTAAACCTCTAAACTGGCATCTCATCACAAAGCAAGACAATATAATTGAAATAAATTGTTGTTTTGAGGTAAAGTGTTGACATGTTGATATTACTGTTAGATAGGTGTTGATGAAGCTTTTAAAGACCCTGGTTTTGGGTATTTTGCATTGAATAGTGTGCTGTACCTTAATGTACACCAGCAAAGATGCCTTAAACAGCCCTTAAAACATACTTAACGTTGTTTTTTCAGATTGATATTTCAAAACTTTTCCTAATCTGAGGCACATTTATGAGGATTTCTGTAAATAACTCCTAGATGCCACATATAGGGCAGGCAATATATATTTTTTGTAAACAAAGTTAATGAATATATTTAGTAATATAACACAAAGTTTGAATCATGATCATTTTCTTGTTTGGTGTAGAAGTAAGGATTTACTGCCATGTCCATATTTTATTGTCTGTGCAGGCCCAGTTTGTGCCAATGATGTTATCAATTAACTGGAGGACGGGTTTTATTGTTACTCTTTATTTATACCCTCACTCTACGCATAACTATCTAGACTTATCTGTCATTTTTATCATGGTGGGAGGAGCACATTTTCCTGTATGTTGGTTGAAAAATATTCTGCATTAGTTATTATTGTATAACTAGTCATTATGCAATTATAATATTGTATAACGCCTTTCATTTTTCTGTGTTCCTCTAGTGTGTGTGCCCCCACTACCTGCATTAGGTTGTGATGACCCACACTACTTCCAAATGTTTCTGTGACCCTCCCCAATCCTGACTCCTAACCTCTAATCCCTGACCTTTGACCCCACTATGGGCAGTGTTGGCAGTGGGGTGGCAGGAGAGCAGGAGTTTGCCATGAAGTCTGTGGGTACGAGGACCACCTTGCCCAGAGCCCCTCCTCTCTCTCGCCGTTGCCCTGCCGACCGCAGCTGCAGTGCAGAACGACTGCCCCGCCCTCCTGCGACTATATCTGACGGGACGGCCTCTAGCGATGAGCGGGGGAGTGTTAGTGTTGCGACTGGGACCTGTACCGGGACTGACCGGCCCACCGAAACAGCCTCCTCCACCAACACTGAATGTACCATAACTGCCCCGTCCAACAACAACCAGTTGGAGTGTGGCAATGGAGCGGGCAGGCGGGAGAGGGAGTGGGAGAGGGAGAGGGAGAGGCAGCGTGAGAGGGGGAGAGACAGAGACCGGGACCGGGACTGGGACAGAGAAAGGTTAGAGAGGGAACGAGAGAGGGAGAGGAACCGGGAGAGGGAGCGGGAGCGAGTGGAGAGGGAGAGGCTGGAGCGAGAGAGGGAGCGGGAGAGGGAGAGAGCCAGAGAGAGGGAAAGAGAGAGAATTGAGAGAGAGAAGATAGAAAGAGAGAGGGAGCGAGAGAGGGAAAGGGAGAGGGAGCGGGAAAGAGAGAGGCTGGAGAATGAGAGGTTGGAAAGAGACAGAGAGAGGGAGATGCAGGCTGCAGGTTTGGATGTGTGTGGGAACATTGTGGGACGAGGAGGACCTGAGAAGACCAGCGTTGGCATGAACACACACCAGATCCAGCATCCGCACCCGCACCAGCACAGAGAGATGACCGCAGCCAGAGCCGACGGAGAAAACAATCCAGGCAGCCACAACCCTCCGAACCACAACCCACCCAAGATCCTGCCAGTGTCGGGAAAACTGGAGCAGGTACTTCAAGATTTAAAACTCCCAACCTGGGGCTCAGGCAAAATGAATCAAAAGGGTCAATCTATTACTCACATGCAGTGAGTTGCATGAGTTGTTATGATTCGTCCTCTCCATACTTAAAGTGATCGCTTACAAGTGTGAAATGTAAGCAACTACGGACAAAATGTAGTGCAAAAATATTTCAGCCAAAGTTATTGACATATGAAATTGCCATCTTCCTAAGTTTTTAAAGTATAACATGTCCTATTTGTGTTACTAATCCTACACTCTTCATGGAAGAAACGGTGTCCAAACACAAAGAAGGAATTTCATACTCATAAAGCCACAACCTATCCAGCAAAAATGCATTCTGAAGGTCTTTTTGACACATTCAATTACAATGATATCTTATTATGTACGATGCACGTCCATATTCTGTTAATATGCTTAACAATAATGTGTTTTCTATCAGGCTTTTCTCCTATGTGTACATTCCTTTATATATTTGATTACCTTCTTTCCTCCATCTCTCTTGTAGGCGATGCAGAACAACTCGGGCCTCGTACGTCCCTCCGCCTTCAAGCCGGTGGTTCCCAAGAGCTTCCACTCCATGCAGAACCTGGTGGGCCAGGCAGGAGGGGCTGGGAGCGAGGGCAAGACTGAGGCAAGGAGTGAAGGGTTCAGTGAGAGCAGAGGAGGCAGGAGAGGCAGGGACGCAGCGGCAGGAGAATCAGGAGAGGTCCCAGAGGCCCTGCTCCTGGACCAGGAGAGCCCAGTGAGGGTCAGCAGAACTGAGGGCGGGGGAAATGGTAATGAAGTGGTTCAGGGAGGGATGTCTGACTCAGGGAGGAACTCCCTGACCAGCCTGCCCACCTACACGGGCTCGGGGTCCGGTTGTGGGCCCCCGGCCGTCCTGGGGCCTCTCAGTGCTTCCACCAGCCACATCAACAGGTTGGGCATGGTTGGGGCAGCTGCAGGCCTCGACAAGCAGGAAAAGCCTGGCTACCAGGTGAGACCCCCATCCATACTCACTTAGTCTTAGCGTGATCTCCTTTATCTGAAATAATGCCGAAAATGTAATACTATTTGCACTCAACCTGATTATGTAACAAAACCAAATCATTTAATAATGTGATCAATAATGTAATACAATGTCCTGACTGCTATTGTATTGTTATATCGTTCGAAAAACCTTATCGTTACTTCAAAACTAAAGATTTAATATTACTGATAAAAAATGTAATAATGTAAAAAAGTTTGTATTTTTGTTGAAAATGTAAAGAAAACTAAATGTATATAAATGCTAGTGTCCTTTAGCATTCCGAACATCAAATTGGTTAAAAGGTTAATACAATATCAGCCAGGATATTTCAGTAACTTATTGGTCAAGTTCTATATCAATGGGTTTTCAATCAGGGTAAAGGCAAATTAGATTACATCTTCAGGAGTCAATACTGTGATTGGGTGCGCCACACCTTGCTGTTATCATCTTTAATGTATCTCAATGGTTCTTTCCTTTAGAACGGGCTCAGCGCCTCAGACAGTGGCCGGTCCTCCTCGGGAAAGAGCTCCTCGTCCTATCAGAGGCTGAGCCACCTGAGTGACGCCCCTGCTCCTCTCCGGCCCTCGCCCTCCTCCGACGACATTATCCAGGACCTCGAGGACCGCTTGTGGGAGAAAGAGCAAGAGGTCAGAGGCAACACAGTGAAGTCTATCATGCAGCTGTTTCTAGCACTCAGTGGGCTTTATGATATATAATTTGTTTTTCTTGTTTAGGATAAGTTTTATACTAAATTAATTGTACTTACTTAAAAACAAGGATGGTTGGCATTATTTATAAGATCAGTTCTAAACTTGAATAATTTCATTGATATTCCAACTTTTGTTATCCAAGTTAAATGTCCTATGTCTTTACTAACTGGCTGTTTGTGACCGGATTTCTCTTCTTCTCTACCAGGTGCAGCACATGCGTAGAAACCTGGACCAAAGTGAGGCAGCGATTATTCAGGTGTTTGAGGAGAAGCAGCGTGTCTGGGAGCGGCAGATGGACGAGCTGAGACAGAACTACGCCTCGCGCCTGCAGCAGGTGGACTCACTACATTTGATTCACAGGATGTCGCTGCACTTAATCTCAACTCACATTTTGAGTCAAATGCAACAAGTGTGAATTCTTGTGAAGCATGTGGTCAAAATCTGAAACAATGGTACAATTTCCTGGGTGATGTAGAAACAACAGATGACATTTTATCTTTTTGTTTTATATGTCTTCACTACATAGGGAAGGCTGTCACTGAATATAACTATCTGGCTATCTAACTATCTTAATATTCACCCTCTGTCTGAAACGCTCTGTTTTAGTCCTTGTCTCTAATGACAATGCTCTGATTGGCTTGCAAGAAAAATTGCAAAGGTGGCAGGTGATTTATTGATCCTGCATATGATGGGGAGAAAATCTGAATGGCTTTTTGACGTCCATGCATTTTGACCCAAGCAGCCCAAAAAACTTGACTGGTTCCAAATGGCATTCAGACCAAATATGTCCCTGATGCAACACTTACTGGGTCATGGCTTTAAGTACCAGAATATATTATTGCTCAATCTGTTCCACATATAGATGGATACCAACAAAACATAATTTTTGTATACTTTATACTTAAAACTTTATAACACTTTATACGTACATTGCTTCTGCAGGTTACCCGTCGTGCTCAGCGCTCCCAGACTGCCCTGCAGGCCCAGATAGGCCGTCTATCCCAGGACAAGAGGAGGCTCCAGGAGGAGATGGCGGCTCTGTTGGCCCAGAGGGAGGAGCTGGAGAGAAAGTGTCTGGATTACAGGAAGGAGCAGGCTGACATCTTGCCTCGTCTGGAGGAGACCAAGTGGGAGGTGAGATATGAGTATATGACTCGGTGCGCTTGACTAGTTCAGTAAAATGTTATCAGGGTTACATCATGGTAGACTGAACAGTAGAGGACTGAGTACAACCGTGTGTGTGACACTGCCTCTGTACAGCAAGCCACTTATATGCAATGGAACAGGGAACATATTGACCATAACAACTAATACTTCTGAATATTGGGGGTTTGATGTTTCATCACAATACATATTGATTATCTGGACAAGGATGGGATAACTGCTGATATCACCAACTTTGCTAAGATACAATTTAAATGTAATTCAGTTCATGGGTCTTAGATAGATATGAGAAGATGCCTATTTAACACAATCAGCTACATTTAAATCAACTCCCAAAAAGTCACTGAAATATGATATGACAATTTAATTGCCTGGCTCTTTCAGACAATTTTTAACACGTTTTTTTAACCAAGAAATTCCAAATAAGGGTATCTGAAGACAATTATATGTATTGTTGTTTTGACTTTGTGTCAATATCCTGGATTATTGATCATTGAGTCGATTATATCTGCTCAGATTGATGGGTATTTACATCCCCACTTAATACAACAACAAAAAAATACCATTCCCTTCTTCTTTATACGTGGCAGGTGTGTCAGAAGGCCGGAGAGATCTCTCTGCTGAAGCAGCAGCTGAGGGAGAGTCAGGCTGAAGTGACGCAGCGAGCTGGAGAGATGGTGGCCCTAAGGGGCCAGCTGAAGGAGCTCAATGCCCAGCTGAGGGAGCGGGAGGAGACCATGCTGGGCCTGAAGGACTCCTACAGCACCAAGAGCCTGGAGCTGGAGAAGTGTGAGGGAGAGCTGAGGAGGACTCTCTCAGAGGTGAGGTTTCAATTGCACCTTGACTTATGCTCAGCAGGCTTTAACACAGAGGAAAACAAACAACAGAAAAACACAAAGGTGAATAATTTGAACATTATTTAAAAAATGTAAATGATAGTCAGTTTATTTATCAGTTTTCTGAATTGGCAATGCAACCAAACATAGATTTCCTAGTAGAGCAATGATCAGACCTAAATAATCAAGTCGCACCATATGAAGCTAAAGGTCTGACTAATAGAAAATATTTTCAAATATATATATTTTTTTATTTGGCAAAATCCCTGAACCTGAGAATGAAATCTCTAGTTTGTGTCTTTGTTAAAATCCTATTTCTTTATTTGTGTGTATGAGTTTACAAGTGAACAAAAAAAAGAGTTCTAGCCAAGCTGCTGAAAACACAAATTCCAGATCGCAGGATAATTTCCCAATTGTATGCACATAGACACATAAAACGACACATAACACGAGTCCTGCTTCTTTGAAGAAAGCTAATATCGACTCCAGTTTGGTTAAAATATCTCATAAGGTAGATTTTTCAACATGAATATTTAGTCAAAGGACTTTGGTTCTGTTGGCTGAAAGGCTCACATTATTCTAGGGACAATGATGTAAATCTTGTGTAGTTCAGCACCGGTCAACTTTATCAAAGGCTTTAGAGAGTAATGCAATGTTGATTACTATCCAAAGCAGTTCAAATATAGTATACAGCAAGGCAGATTTAAGGATTGACATGTTTTACACTAATCTAGATTGTTGAGCATCTAAAACCAAGAAATCCTTCAGAAGGATTCGAAAAACAAAACAAAAAATAGACTAGAACAAATTGGGGATTAGGCAACATCGTATACTACAGCTACAGCATTTTTGTCCTTGTTTTGTACAAGCCCATAAGCAGCTGACACATATCACATGTATATATTATTTGTATTCCATCACTTAAGAGGCAGTAAGTTTAAGAGCAATATTCATCTCTTTTAACACAATGTCTGCATATATCAATAGCTCTTTTCTGGTAAAACGTACAATATCACTCAATCATAAACCATCAAAAGAAAGCTTCCATTTTTGGGCCATTAATACACTTGGAAACATTAGTGAAGCGTTGCGGACCTACGTTTATGTACAGTTTAAGTGCATACATGTGCTTGATTGCATTTCTACATATACAGTATGAAAAACAAATGCAGCTGGATGAGTATTTGTTTGAATGGCTGTGTGAATGAATGCTTTCACACCTTATGTCTATCTATATAACTATGAACACTTATTAAGCTTGTTTTTTATGTAGGAATCCTCCTGCCTGTGACTGTGAAAATATTTATTGTGATATACATTTTCCTTTTTATAGGTGTCCCATCTAAGAGAGAAGCTGGGTGTGTTTGAGGCAGAGGTGCTCAGTTTAAAGCGGGCTCTAAATGAAGTGAGCAGAGGAGCAGAAGTGGTTATGAGCCCTAACTTAGCTGCTGCAGGACTTTTGCCCCCCTGGGGGATTGTCCACTGCCCACGTAACCCCACTGAGTCCTCAACCAACTCTCTCACCTCCACGTCTGACAACCTGCTGAGTCTTCAGAGCGATGAAGCCAAGGCCCAGAGGCAGGAAGCTCAGAGACAGGAGAGGCAGCAACGGGAAGAAGCTCAATGGCGTGATGTGCAGCAGAGGCAAGATACCCACATGCAGCAGGACCTTCGAATGCGTCAGGATGCCCAAATTCGACCAGAGGCCCAACTCCGTCAGGAGGCCCAGCTTCGTCAGGAGTCTCACCTCCGCCATGAAGCCCAATTACGCCAAGAGGCCCAGCTCTGCCACGAGGCCCAAATGCGTCATGAGGCCCAACTCTGCCAGGAAGTGCAGCTACGTCAGGATGGCCACCTGCCGCAGCGAGGCCCGGAGGGTCACTGGGACGAGTCAGGGGAGCTTCGCAGGCAACTTGAGCAGCTGCAGGCCGCATTGCGCCTGGAGCGGCAGCAACGGGAACGCCAGGCACTCAACTTCGACCAGGAGCGACACACCTGGCAGGACGAGAAGGAACGGGTTTTGAAATACCAGGCACAGCTTCAGCTCAGCTACGTGGAAACGCTGCAGAAGAATCAAGCTTTGGAAAAACGTATGATCTCATTGGGAGCTAAACCCTCCTCAACGTCCACCACCACCACTATTACCACCATCACCACCAGCTCCCCCACCTCTTCCAATTCTCCCCCTCCACCACCAGCCATGTCACCTCTATCCCCTCAGCCCTCACTCTCTATCTCTGGCCCCATTGCCCTAACCATCTCCCCGCCTTGTGAAGATCAGAAGGGCCCTCCTTCTCTCCACCAGCTTGCCAATCCCTGGGCAGGACCTTCACGCCTGGAGAGGATAGAGTCCACTGAGATATAGAGACATGACCAATTTTCCAGTCCAAGACACTCACAGTGACGAGGCCTCTCACAGAAAACCACTTCAGCATACAGTTGAAAAACATTTCAGTCTACAATAGAATAAATCAGTACAGTCTGACAAACTTTTCAAAGCAACTTAAGACACTGAAAACAATAACAAATGCCGAATGCCCACTATCAGTAACAGATCCTCCGCACGGGAAGTTGAACTTCATTCAATCAATGATTTTTCAAATTCCTAAGCAGCCTTTCTCTCTGTAGTTGCACATTACTACATCTCATTTAGCCAGTGTGCAATGTGAGGAATGTGCCACACTGATGGATGGCAGAAAAGCTAAATGTGAAATGACCATTTTTAGATGACAGCACTAATACAGGGGGTCATTTAACGCCCATGCTAGAAAAGGACCAAGACAATCAGGGATATTGTCAGAAATTAACGACCAGAATATTATGCGGTATTTATTCATTGTAAGTCTGTGTCACTGGTCATGTATAAGTAGAAATAGAGGTCAGAGTGTGTGATGTTAACTTGCATTTTTGGCCAGAGAGCGCCTTACTCCATTTTTTCCAGCATGTATACAAGAAAAACTAATGCTGGGAATAGAAAAATAGGAGTGTGTTTATCATTTTCAGTGCTTTAATTATAATATCAAAAAACCAGTCACACAACATTGTTACACAGGGCTGGACTAATTCATTTAAAATCCCAGCAGATATCAACATCAAAGGTCACACCCTGATTTTTTATTGAGTTTTCAAGTCCTTTCATGCACAGGGTCCACAATGCATGACCCATATAAACACATAATTAATACCAACAGAGTTTATATTTTCTACAAATTGAATTAAATAGATATGTTTAGCAGATAATCAACCCCAACTGAATATAGAACATGTTTTAAAAAGTGGGAGAACCTGATTCGCCTTCAATGCAGCTCGCCTGTCTTGACTAAAAACAAACACTAGAGGTCATAGGAGAGCTTTCACAGCGATACCAACTCAACCGTCTTTTATTGAACTGCAAGGAGAATGTGAATCAAAGCACACAATTTGAATTTGGTTATTATGATAATTGTGTTGTTCACTTTGTGCATTTACAGCCAAGAAATCAGTCGGTATCCCCAAAGTCAAAAATACAATTTATAGAATGTATGATACACTAAAAATAAATACTTATAATAGTTATAGATTGTAAATGTGTGTATGTGGTGAGAGTGCGAGTGTGTGCGTGGGAGAGCCGGTGTGTGCATGTGTGTATACTTATAAAAAGCTTCAGTTTATGAGATTGAGGATAGAGGGACTAGTGGCAATATAGTAAGTGAAGATATGTTGATGGTAAATGGATTTTTCTTTTTTTGGGGTGGGGGCTTTAAGTACTTTAAGATGTAAGGGCACTGAGACTGAAGGAGTATGTATATCATGGAAAACTGTCTCTACTGTATATTTCTTTTAGACAAAGCAGGGGAGAACAACGTTTAAAAAAAAAAACCTGAAAAGGGAAAGTCAGCCTCTTTAAAGGGAGCGTTCAGGCTAACTGCACTACGTAGTGTCCTACACACGAGTTATGATGTACAGTAGACTCAGATGTGAATATCATGGCTTTTATATGTGTTGTTTATGCCAGCATACAAAGATGTTGCTCAAGAATATTAACTTATCTCTAAAGTATTACATAGTATTATCATCTTTATTACTGTTATTATATTATGGTGAACTGACAGAGAAAATATGTGCCATTTAAGCTTTCCTTTATGTGTTTTTTTAACTGTGTAGATAGCCTATTGGCCTACCATAATGGTGCAATCATAGCAACCCTGTCCAAAAATGATGTTCTTTTTGATGTAGGTGATAAATGTAGTTGCAGTATTGCATTGTTTAGAGAACAAAATGCTACCAATTTTATACATTACACAATTGTATTGTTTGCATTTATGTTACTAGTACTGTTCTGGCTTGATTGAAACCACCTCTTTGTTATTCAGCAGAACTAATAAAGAAATGTGAATAATTCAGCACTTTTTTGTCATTGAGCAAATAATTTGTCCAGTGGTTCAACTCGAATCTAGGATTAAATTATCTCCAAAATGGAAATACAGGCACACCATTTATTTCGCAGTGGTTCCCCTGTTGTGTCTAAGGGCTCCTATAATGAATACTTGTAATGGGTCAGGACATGCTTAACAATAATTCAGAATAATAATACTCCAACATACAACATTATTTTGAACAAAACCACTATTACTGTAAACTGTAGCAATATCACACTGTAAAATACTCCATTACAAGTACAATTCCTGCATAGAAAAGTATTATCGTCAAAATAAGTATCAAAAGTAAATCAAGCAGAATGAATTGGTTCATGAAGTTATTTAATTATTTGCAATGATGCATAAACTTCTCAGCAGAATGTTTAATGTATACAAATGTAGGTATATGTACTGTTGGTGGTTTCATCTGTAGCAATGCATCTTATTTTACAAGTTTGTTTAGAAAGAAAGAAGCGAAGCCGTCACATAAATGTATCTGAGTCAAAATATGCCTACACCATTCTGATATAATGTGAGTACCTCACATTATATCAGAATGGTGTAGGCATAAAAGTAGCATAACATCAAAGTGTTCAAACAGTGTACCTCAAAACTGTACTTACTGTGCATAACTTGAGTGAGGAGATATTGCAAGTGAAATGAGCATTGTTTTTTGGAATCACAAACCAAAAAGTTCGGTGACCAGTTTGGTCTTAATGTCTTCTAGGCTGAACGTAGGATGGAGACACTGGAACTATCAAAAGGAAATGCATACTAGTAGTCCTTGAAATGCTGCAAGCTGCCATTTAGCATCTTGTAATAAACTTTTCAATCAATCAATCAATCAATCAATCAATCAGTAAAGGTGATCGACCTTGTTGACATGTGGAGGAGGAGAGACTACTCTGAAAAGACAGACACAATATTGACAAAAGGTCAAGACGTTTACATTATTGCACAATAAAGGTTGTGCTGGAGTGAGAAATAAAATAAATCGGCGGACAAACATTTATCAACCTTATTATCCTACCTGTAGCATCCATCGAGACATTTTGCAATTACAAATTAAAGGCATGTCCCTCATCGGCTTCCCTAGATGTGTCGGACTGTTGGCTAAGCTAGCTAATGTTTGGATGTTAGCTACCTTTTAAAGTTGGCCAAAGGAGCCAAATAAAGACCCAACACAGCAACAATAAGGCGACGTAAGCTCGGTATGGTTTATTTTACTAAGGTTGTGTTATCATTGTCTGATTGGCTCAGCATTGACAATGTTGGCGAACATTATATTGCTAGCTAACCATAAGTGTGGTGTTAGCATGTGAACATACCGTGAAAGCTAACATTAGCTCGATGCTTCACGTTAGTAAATGTTTTTACAGGTTTTTCGTTTGAGGCCCAGATCCTCTTACATCAGTGCAGCTAATATATCTGAAAAATGAATTACAACCTACATCTGTCTCGTTGGTATCAGTTTATTTGGTGTAGTGTTGTGGTAAGGTTAGCTTGATGAACTATTATCCTTCAGATGACTAATTTTTGTTTGTGAAGTTAGCTTGATGTAATTCAGGCTATCCACTTAGGTGGTCTTGTATGATATTGTATTGCATATCATATCGTTAGGAATAACATTACATTCTCAGCTTTGCAAATATTGACATTTTGACTGTCATTCATTATAGAGAGTAATAGGAAAGATGTAGTGGCCAAATCGTGTTTATGTTTAGGTCTAACTTTTGTTAAATGTTTACTATTTTATATTATTAATCATTTAGTGTAGACAATTATAGATTTAAAATATTCCTATTGTTACTTAGTGGTCAGATGGCAAACATTTATTTAAGTAACTATCTCCTTTTTTTTTTTTTAAATCACTCGTACTGTGTGTGTGATAACCTTGTTAAACTCAGTGTTCAACATAGTTTATGAGAGATGAGTCATTTCTTGAAGGTCGTTTTTTGATGAGGTCAAAGGTCTTGTGAGCTAATAGGTGTAAACACACACAAAGTGATTATCTTCAAATAACCCAGGGCAGAGTTGTGAACCAATGTGAATGAGTGTTAAGAAAGCTCTTATATGAATGCCTCATTTTGCCTTGACCTATACATTGACTATACTGTTTGTGACCCAAGGGAACATGTATGCCTCTTAATCAGTTTGTGTCTTCACAGGTTGGACAATATGGTTGTGAATCTCTGTCTGCCACACTTTTATGCAACAGTTCATTGCAACAAGGTACAACCATTTTATGTACATCATGTAACTTTAACTTCTTTCAGTTTTATTAATTGCATTAAATATAGGGCCTTTCAGAAAAACCCAAAGCTTTGAAGCCTCATCATAACTTTGACATCAGATTTTTAAATCAACATTCCAAATTGGTATTTTTGCGAAGTTGCAGATAAAAACAAGGCTACTATTCACATCACATTACAGACTCTTGTGATCTGAACATTTCCAATGACTCCTGAGTCTTGTGAAGTAAAAATGTAAAAAGAAAAACGCAATAAGGTAGATTTACTGTATGTTTTTTACACAATGTTTTGCTTCAATACATATTTGTTGGCATTTACCCTTTCAAAAACAACATTTTTGACTACCTTCAAAAACAGTCCCTTCTTGTGCTTGCTGCACATAAAGGGAGAGAGAGACACACTGACGAGTTGCATTCAACACAATTCAAAAAGTCTAACTCTTTTAATCCTATGAATGGCTTTATTCAAATTGTGGATTAGTTTAAGGATTTTTTTTAGAGTGATGAAATCATAAAATGACGTCAGACACTGGAAGCCTTATTCCAAAACCATAATTTAAGCTTCACATCTAAAAAAAGGAAAGACAATTGGTACTGCCCCAATATACGATACCTCCCTGTTTTGTTTTTGTTTTCTGGTAGAAATGTGCTGCTACTTCCAGTTGACATTCAAGTAGTCTTAACAACAATTACCTAGTACAGAATAAAATAAAATGAAAACTGATTTCTACACTTGTCTAGTGTTTTATTATAGTGAGATTTTGCTTTGGCCTATTTTCTTAACAAAACAAAAATAGGTCTCAATAGTTTACAGCAAGAATTAACATAGATAGACACGACTCTGCAAAGGATAAAGGTGGAGGACAGAGATGTGAAAATAGAAGCAGAAGGACAAAGTGATGTGTGGGAGAGTGAATCACAGCTGACCTTGTTATGTTCTTCTTATTTGTAATCTGATCATGACGGCATCTTCTTCCACACTCGGCAGGGAAGTTGTTCTTTTACCCACCATCATCTTTTATATTGTCACATCTCCTTCCATGTGATGTTTTATATTGAATGTCTTCTGTGCTCGATTCTAATGTGGAAGGCCGCTGAAACTTCCAGAATTGTAAAAAAAAAGTATGCCTAAAATGAACAGTTTATAGTAAAACAAGTTTATGCAGCTCTGTGCAGATGGCTATGATGTCACAAACCTTGTGTCAGCCGACCCTGCTCTCCGGAGGCAGGGCTTCAAGCTGGAGTACTTCCTACGACCACCTGTACAGGTAAGATTGTCTTACTTGAGTAGAGGTTTAATTTATTTCTGAGAGTTAGAGACAATGATAAATGATCATTGTCTATCTCAGAAGTGGCTACTGTCTAAGGTTTTACTGCCAACTAATGGCCTTCAGTCTTAAAAATATCAACTTATATTCAAGTTACAAGCCTAAAGCATGAGCACTCTTATGGCAGAATGCTGTAGTTTATTTAATAAAACAGCATCCGTACAATATCTTTTAGCATTTTAATATTTGCAAAAGTGGCATCACTTGTAATAAATGAATCTCTAATATTGATTTCCATATTTATTTTGTTCCTCTCAGGTGACGCTGAAGTTTGGTTTCAAAGTGGAGCTGTCCAGGGTGGATGTGGAGCTTTGGCCCTGGGGTATGGACAAAGGACAAGCCTGCAAGAGACTGGAGATCAGCACCAGCTCTGATTCCACACCCACACAGAATTTGGACCAAGGCAACAAACGGGTTCAGCAGAAACATATGCCGGTAAAGGACCAGAAACAGTGCAGAGATAAACAGCAGGGGCATGGCAGTGCATCTCGTCAGAGTAATGGACACCAGTGGAGACATCAGGCCCAGCAGTGGTGTGGAGAGGCTCCAGATGAGCCTCAACAAAGAAGCTATGCGTTCAAGTCAAACACTGAATCCAGTAATCCTGAACTAGAGTTTAAGCTGATAGGCCGCTGCGAACTCAGGGAGGAAACCCAAGTCTGTTTTACACGTTCAAATGTCAGGCCCCGGCCCCCGTTCCTCTCCTCACTCCCCCCACAACCTGCGAACAGTCACCAAGAGGATCTGTGGAGTCGGGGTCTGCTCTCATTGGGCGCTGTGACACAACTCCGCGTGACTTTGCCATTTGGCGGTTCAGCATCTGCTCTGGGGCTCAAGACTTTGGCTGTGTGGGGGCAACCTGCTCGCTGCTGTCCTGCAGAAGAAGTGGCGAGAATTAAAAAAGTCCATGAGGACAGCCAAAGACAGCTGCCAAGACCTTCGTTCTTTACCCCTTCTGCCAGCCAGATGAAACCACTACTGCAAGCAGATACACCTCCAAGGTATGTGAAAAATGTGCTTCTTGTTGTAGATGAAATAGAGCTCATAATCATAATAAAGGATAATGATTTGATGTCTGCTTTTTGTCTGACTCCAGCCATCTTTCCATCCCAGAAGAGTTCCATGACCGGATAACCCAGGAGGTCATGATGCTGCCCATGCTGCTGCCCAGTGGCGTGTCTGTGGACCACAGCACGCTGGAGGAGCACCAGAAGAGGGAAGCCACCTGGGGTCGACCCCCAAACGACCCCTTCACTGGCGTCCCGTTCACTTCCACCTCCCAGCCTCTTCCTAACCCCCAACTGAAAAGCCGCATTGACCACTTCCTCCTGCAAAACAGTATGATAAGGAGGGAGGGGATGTTGGGGAGACAAGGGGAGGGAGAGCATCCACAGGCCTCGAGACTTTTAGACTCCAAGGTAGAAGGACAGTCCCAGGACTCTCAAAGTCTCAGTGACAGCTTGACAAACAACACTGCTTTTCACGATAATGCTTGCACCAGCAACACAAACAGGACTACTCAAGTAGAAGACACTGGATTAAGTCGTTCATCAGATAATGGGAATCACAAATTTGACACCCAGCCTCTTAACACGGAGAGGAAATCGGAAAGAAGTAGCAAACGAAATCTAGGTGGAGTTTCCGAAGAATCCACAGAAGGTTTGCCAGCCGACAGGCAACTACTACAGCAGACAAAAAGACCAAGACATGATGTCGCTTCTGGTAAAATGTGTTTTTGTTATACAAAAAAAAAAGAAAAACAACATATTTCACTACTGTGTTTCTCCTGCTGACTTGTTGGTGTTTACTCCGTCTTCATCAGTTTCCAGCTCTCATGAGCAGCGTTTGTCAGCCAGCCTGGATGAGGCCCTCTTCTCCGCCCTGCAGGGCAGACCCTCCTTCACCTCAAACCTGACTCAGCAGAAACGGGTTACACCTGATTCTGAACCAGTGAACACATCACAGCAGTGTCAGGCTGCCGGCCCCTCGAGCATCCCACAAGGTAGGATTAAGAGAAGTGTACTTTGAAACACTCAAACTAAAATATGTTTAGTGTCAACAGATTGTACCCACTGTAAAGTGCGTTGACAACAGGGTTCCTTCACAAAAATAAGCTCAACTTTTGCCATAACAACAATACGGTGCAGTGTTTTTCATTAACCTTAGACTCATTGTTCTACAAACTGGACTTCCTTGATTGTATTTTTTTTGTTGTTGTAAATATCTTTATTGATTTTCTCAGTTTTACAAAAGCATTTATACACACATGCTGACAAATCTCCATTTCAATCCTTGATTGTATTTCTTATCTAATTTGTATCTGAAGCAACATGCCCACCGTTGCATCCTGTTAATGCAGAGCTGTTTTTGGTCTTATCACACTCGCATGGTCAGCAGAAAGTCTCTCTCATAGCCCATTGATGCTGCCTTTTTAAAGCGGACAAAATCAAGTAGAGGGTTTGTCAGGCATCAAAAAGATCCCTTTATGTCGCAAATTATTTTTGACTAACAAATTCTACATTGGTGCCAAGACACATTTGTCTTTTTTCTGAACTGGATTTTCTTTTCATTTTCACAAACACAAGTGCAAAATACGTTAGTGATGAAAGACATTCTGGTGTACATGACACTAGTTTTAAAAGAGAAAGGATGGCAACCCAACACGTTACAAAATAATTCTTGAAATGTTGTTGTTTTTAAATGTTCCTGATCTCTGATGTTAAACAATATAAATCCATTGAATGGTTGCTTGTTTTCCTTTGCTTGCCAGGTGAGAAGACGTGCTCTGCGTGTTCCTGTTCGGTCTCTGGCTACTCCAAATCTACATCCTCCATCTACCGTCTTACCTGCGGCCACTTGCTCTGCCACTCCTGCCTGCGGAGGGAACCACAACCGCCAAGCTCTGTCACCATATCACCTGCCAATCACATCTTGTGTTCAGCCTGCCAAAGCACTACCCCGCGCAGTGAGGTCATACGCGTTCATCACTAACATATGATGTGTAAAGGCAAATCAACACAATGAAGAGGATGTTCTGAAGGTGAAACCAGCATTATACCTGAGATTAAGTGTTTAATGTTTCAGACATGTTAAACGTAAGGTGGAAAAAACAGCATTCACAGCTGAGAGCTACAGATCCTGGATATTTCACTTTTTTGACGCCACCTTCATCCCCCTCTTTGATATACAGCATATTTTCTCAGATGTGTGTAACTGTCATTTTGATACTAATCTCATTTTTTGTATACATACGTAATATTTCTACATTATGATTTTGATTCACGCCTGAGTTTTTCAAATCTGTTTATAATATTCTTTTGACATTTCTTGAACCCGCCACGTCACAAATTCAACTTTGTATTTATGTCCACAGCTTAGAAAGAACATCACTGAAAGCAATGACCTTTACAAAAATCTGCAGCAAAAGAATGCTTAAAGAAACTTGTTCTCCTCTCTCATCCGCCCCCCCGTCGTTGCAGCCTTGGTTCTGCAGACCTTGTACAAAACCTGGACGTGTAGATGTGTTGAGAATGCAAAAAGAAAAGGTTCTGGGACACAAGTATTTCGAACAAGAGGCCAGAAGAATGAACGTGAATTCATATCTACCCAAGGCCGTTTGGCCATTATGAAGAATCACACATGTCATGCTCATCTTTCCCCTCTTTCCTTCACTCTATTCACCATTTTACATTCCCTTAACTCTGGTATATTGTTCTTGTCTTAACAGAAATAAAGGCAGAAAATGTAAATGACTTCTTTGTGTTGGTTCTGTTAAAATATATATCTTCATTATACTTAAAATGTCTCCATTATCTCCAATAAGATTATGGTTCTAGTTTTATCACAGTTTTTCCTTTAAGGTGCAATGTTATGAGAAGCTACATGTACTCCAGTGTCCTTGCCCACGTATTAATTTTCCTTCCTCTTAACACACCTAATTACCTCTTATGAGTTTGTCTTGCATTCACAAAAGGGTTAAATGGACAGAGTCAGGAAAAACAGCATTTATTGGGCTTTGCATCCACAAGTGGCAATATGTATGTGTTGGTTACCCTGACAACATTAAGCTTAACCAAGGTCATGATCCTGTATCCGCTCAGTTAGAGTAAAGGCTGAATCAGTTGTTCTGCATGTGAACAGAAAACATAATCTTCAACACATCAGATACAAGTATCGGCACTCTAAAAGAGATGTAGAGTGGTATTAACTACTGCTTTTACTTGTCCAATGAACTGATGAGCTTGTTGTTCTCCATGTGAGAAATGTAATAAAACAAAAGTAAACACCCTCAATCTGATGCTCAGGTTTTCCACTTAGCATTCTGCATCACAACAGCTAATCGGGGAGTAAGAATCCAAAGCATGCAACAAGAAACTGAACGGAATAATGAACTTCAGATACTTACGTCCATTTGAAATGCTAATCTTGTTGTGCTCATTAATTGTTTGAAATGACAGCAGCAGGATAATCTGTGTGACCTCGAGGTTGTCATGATGAAAGAACCATACCCTCCATGTAACAAGAGGAAAAATATGTATTTACTGATGAACGGTGGTTAAGATAAATTGTGCATGATCACCATGAAATGTAACAAATCATTGCGCTTATTGCAATACATCCAATTAGTTGTCCACAAGTCTAATTAGACGTTCATGTTCTGCCATTTTCAGTGTGTGCCATCCGCGTAGGCTGAAATTATTCAGAAAGATGTTCCAAGTAAGTGTGGCGCAGTCTTGAATACAGAAAAGGCATCTTGTGTTGTCAGCGTTGTTCTCTCTTGTAGATTTGTTTGATGCCACTAATCTGATTCAGAGCCATATCTGCTGCGACCTCTTGCGCACACGCACGCAGCCAGGTGGCCTTCGGGTGCGCGTGCATGCGGAGAGGTGTACAGCACGACAATGACGTCAGTGTCAATCGCTTTGTCAGTTCATGTCCATCCGCTTATAAAGTGAGCCATGTACCGGGGTATCAGCCACACATCTCCAGACGGAGCTCAGACCGGTGCGCGGCTCTTCCATTAACCAGCAGCGATGCCTCACTCCTTGTTCCCCATGTGCGTCCTGGCACTGCTCGCCCTCTCCTCCGCCTGCTACATCCAGAACTGCCCCCGAGGAGGGAAGCGTGCTCTGGCGGAGTCTGGCAACAGACAGGTGAGGACACTTATCCTGTCATCTGTGACTTTATCAGATTTCTTTTTAATGCTTTGGATGCTTTTTTGGTTTGAAATGTCCCCTAAGTAAGGGGAAGTAAAATATATAACATTAGGATAATTTTAAATATGAAATAGTTCAATTTGCAATCATTTGATGAGATCAGTTGATATTGATTTAGAGAAAAACCAAGCCATTTTACTTAATAAAATTGACAAAATCAGGCAGGAATAACAACGTAAAACATTGTTAAATATAGCAAAAATGTCCAATTTCAGGAGCTAACTATTAGATGAACACATTTATTATTTGTTATAATGATAATTGTGTGCATAATAACTTATAGTAGAAACAACACCCATCATGATGCATTTCAAGTGTTTTTATATTATTTTAGTTCTGCATTTTCTGATATATACAGGCAAGTTTATATCCAAACATTAATAATAAAAACAAGCATACTGTTTTGAGATTAATGTGCAACAGAATCATGCAACAGTTTCCCAGCTTTTAAGCATGCCCTTTACAAGTGTTTTTAATTAACTCAAAATAGAGTGCAATGCTTAATAAGTGTTACAATGTTTCCAAACGAATTGACTGGATGTATAACGCTTTATTATGAATGCTTAAATCTTCCCAATTCTCCTCCAGTGCATGTCTTGTGGCCCCGGAGACAGGGGCCGCTGCTTCGGCCCCAGCATCTGCTGCGGGGAGGGCCTGGGTTGCCTGCTGGGGTCCCCGGAGACAGCTCACTGTGTGGAGGAGAACTACCTGCTGACCCCCTGCCAGGCGGGAGGGAGACTCTGTGGATCTGAGGGAGGACGCTGCGCTGCTTCAGGACTCTGCTGTGACTCAGGTACAGTCTGATTTATTATTCCTCATGTTCAGACAAGTTAATAAGTCGGGATGAATTGGCCTATAGAAACAGCTTGAAAAACGTCCTCTCCTTCCTCTCAGAGAGCTGTGCGGTGGACCCTGACTGCCTGGGGGACACCGAGGCCCCAGATCCGGCCCACGGCTCTTCATTTAGCTCACCTGCAGAACTTCTGCTGCGCCTGCTGCATGTGGCTGCCAGAGGACAGCCTGAGTACTGACACTCCGGGCCATGAAGGGAAACACAATGAAGATCATCACTGTTCCACTACAAGCCTTGAGATGTAAACCATGAACCAATAAAATGCCAAGTCAAACTTTGTTCTCTCTTAACCCCTTCTGCTGTCCTGTATCTGTAGAGAGGGCCATAGAAGAACTACCTGTAACTTTAGTAATCAGTCAGTTTTCATCCAGATCCTGTGGAAGAGGAATCATGATATTGCATTGTTTGTTCCAACCTTAGAAATGTATATACTGATGCACATACTGTAAACAAATTGTATTCTATATAAGAGGATGTAACACACCTCAGAGCTCCATTTTAAATAAGTGAATTACAGCAGAAAAACCCTGTATATAAGTTAGAGATCTGACATTTAAGACATCCATGTAAAACAACTTAAGCAGTTACTTATTGTGTGGTAGAAATATTATTGTAAATTGAAAATAAGAGAGACAATACAGAATATATCACTGCCAAAAATCTTCAGCTGTCTGTTGTCGTTATTCACAAGCTCAACATAATTACACCTTTAAAGATGATGACTAATAGTGTTTATAGTCTGTGTGTGTGTGGCTGTGAATGTGGGTGTCTGAAAGGAATTAATAACTACCTGAAATAGAAAGCTAAGAAATCACCCATAATACTTTCTGTCGTAAATCAGTATCAATTCTTTGAACCTGTCCAGCGTTATAGTTCGTAAGTTCAAAAGGCTGGACAGTTATAACAGTCATCCTTTCTCCCCCCCAGAGGACACAATAATTGTAGGTGTGCCTAACTACTGCAAACTAAAATGTAAAATGAAAACGTTGATATTGATCTGAGGGTAAAGAGGAAATAAGCTGGACTTAGTGTATTTCACGGCAGATTTAAAAGTCGGCTAGTAACAATTATTTATCTAATTGTCCGTCACATGTTGCACTGATACGATGAATTAACCGTGTCAATCAGCTGCATTTCATTATCTTCTTCAAGCACACACATCTCTTTGTTGTTAGACAGTGTTGCTTCATATTCCTTTGTGCAGGATGATTAAAAGTTGTTTTTGCCAGAATGTATGTGTTGCCAGTTTCAGTTGGACCTCCCACATTCTGACATTTACGGTAACTGTTCTGAAATAAGACCTATGTGTCGGGAACTATAAACGTGTCTTATATCTGCCTGATTAATTGTTCAGTGTTAAAAGCTTTGATAACAGCCAATGTTGCATCAGTGCTAAATATAAATGATTACAGCCAAACAATTCCATGGAATCGTCAAACTTAGTTGACTAAGTTGACTTAACAAAGACTCAGAATGAAACCGTGCTCATTGGCTGTGTAATGGTGAAGTTATGTGCGACTTGATTTTGATTAACAGTTAATATGACCTAATTATTTGTAATTAGTACAGAGCAGAAGCGGATTAGATGCAGCCAATTAAGTCAACAAAGACCACAGTGGCTTTTTCCCCACAAAAAAAACTAATCTTCCAGATTTCATTTCCATAAGAAGAAAAAGAACATGTCAGAAACAAAACCTAATTTGTGTCAAACTGGCTCAAAAAGGAGGGGGAAAATTAAGTAGGCTTAGTATGGGATGAGGTATTTATTGTCGCATGCTCTAAACTGAAATGCAAACCAAAAATCATACAACACTGCATTTATTTGTTGGTTTTGACAACTTTCCCAAACACACAAGTAGTTAATCTGCTAACTGTCAGTCATTGTTGCTACCAGAAGAATTCCCCTTGGGAACAGTTTGCCCCCCCCCCCCCCCAAAATAATTATATTGTCTGGTTTGCACGCTCAGGTAAATTGCACAACATGTGACAAAGCCAAATGTTTTTTGCCATCTTTAGTAACTTATTTATGAGCCCTTCTCTTTGCACAAAAGTCAAAGGTCAGGCCCATCTAGAGAGAAAGAGTCTTGCTCATTGATACTTAAGCAGTGCCTGTGTTTGCTCAGGGGCTTTTCAAATGATGTCTTCTGCTTGAAGGATAGTTTCCATGATCATTTATCGAAAATGTTGCCCAAAGGGTTAATAAGATAATTATTTGTTCAACATCAGAACATTATTACAAAGCCTTGCACTCATCACATATACTAATTTATCTTAAGTCTTCAGATACACCGTTAAATATATACCTTTTGTTTCTTTCGACTCTGTGGTTGACATTTGATCTCAGTTAAATTCCCATTGATCTCAGTTGTTTAAACTATAACCCAGCTTTCCTGACTTTGGGTGTGGCACTAGCTAAGCCTTAATTCAGTATCTGTCAATCAAAGAAAATCCTATAAAAAGTGTGGTAATTAAACCTGTCAGAGCCTGTCTGAGTGGAACATACCTGTACCACGAACTCTGCTACACAGGCAGTTTAAACAAAGAGTCATTTTCAAAACGAAAGTAACATTGGTTTTCAAAAAGTGTGTGTGTGTGTGTGTGTGTGTGTGTGTGTGTGTGTGTGTGTGTGTGTGTGTGTGTGTGTGTGTGTGTGTGTGTGCGTGTGTGTGTGTGTGTGTGTGTGTGTGTGTGTGTGTGTGTGTGTGTGTGTGTGTGTGTGTGTGTGTGTGTGTGTGTGTGTGTGTGGGTGTGTGTGTGTGTGTGTGTGTGTGTGTGTGTGGGTGTGGGTGTGTTCAGCACAAGTATTTAAAGGAATGACAGATTTCCCCCCTCAGTTGCTCTGTCATCATGGATCTGAAAGTTGGGTTTGCGATTGTCTGTCTGTGCGCTCTAGCCATCAGCTCCACTGAAGGTAAGGACCCCATTATTATGACAATTTATGTTAAAAGCAAGACAACGCTTTAATAGAATCCGTTTTTTTTAAGGTAAGTTATATACATGCTCAGAGATGTTTATATTTTTGGGCAGAATATACAGGAATCGATTGGTCTTTCACTTTCACTTCATATTGTAGAAGAATATGAAAATGATAAGTTGATGTTGTAAAGGCAGAGTGTCTAAATAACTATGTTGTTGATGCAGCTGTTTATTGATTAAATAATCTTCTTTGTTTTTCAATCTAAAACTTTTTTTTAAAAATTGTGTTTTATCTCTTGCTTATTTGCCAAATGCAACTCGAGGCCCAGGGACAACAGTTAATAATGTGCCTTTTTGGCTAACACCCGCACATTTAAAGTGATTTTGTACCTAAAGATATAACTTGACAGAATGGCAGTGATAGCAGAGACACAATTAAACACATTTGTTAATCATTATTGTTGTTTAAACATCCTTTTTATGGATCTTAATCCCACATTGCAGCTGGCATTCCAAAATGTTGCTTCTCAGTAAAGATGGACATTCCCCTCCAAGTGCTGGTGAGGGTTCAGAGATGGAATGTGCAACAGAGCAGAGGTGCCTGTGACATCCCTGCACTGATGTAAGTGGTGAACATCAACAATAGGCCATATTATTACAGTTATCAAATTGATTCTTTGTGCTACTATCTAACCCTGAAACATGTTTCTCTTGCGGATCGACAGTCTGCATATAAAGGGTTTAAGGAAGCCCATATGTGCTCATCCCAAACTGAAGAGAGCCCTGATGGCGCTGCAGGCCAGGGTGAAGCGGAGCAGACAGACAGCATGAGAAATCTAATTGTCTGTGTTGTGTTTTCTACATTTGGTGTGATACATAAGCCCTTACAGTTGTCTCTTTCTTTATTGATGATGATCATTTAGAGGTACTTGTACTTACATTTACTATATACATTTCAAACTATTCTAGAATCAAATACATGTATTTAATAGATATTCTTTTTCAGAATATGATTTGACATACAATCTGATTCTTAAACCACACCGTATGTGAAGTGTTTTAAAATCACCTAAAAATGGACTGTCTTCTGTTAACTTTCAATATTTGAGGTATGTTTCATTGCTAATGATTCTGTGCTTTTACTTAATGTAAAGGTTACAAAAAAGGGGTTTTACTTTTAATGGAGTATTTTTTTTGGTTTGTAGAATAATGTGAATTAAATCTTTGTCATTTATACTTTGTATCGTAATACAATTGCATACAAAAATTATTGTCAAATGTGATTTAATAAATACTTTTTCTTATATGTTATAATTGTATTTTTGCTTCCAGGTCTAGTTGTGATCATTTATTTAAAAAAACAAACAAGACATGGTCAAATGATGTACGTAAGGTTTTTGGCTATATTAAGAAAGCATCAATTGGAGAGAGGGCGACAATTGTTTTCAATTCAAGATTCAGTGTCTTTATTGTCATGTGTAAAGTAGCTACAGTGTAGATATGGCAATGAACATTTTAAATCCCGAGCTCCTCCAACAATGCCACATAGTATTTATAGGACATAAAACCAAAAACCAAAATTTAAGAAAATGAAAAAGTGATGGTTTTTGTCTGTCAGGTCCTCCCTCCAATTGTCAATTACTTATACTTCAGGAGGCACTTGCATGAATATTATGTTAGCACTGAAGTTGATTTGTTTTGATAATAGGTTCACTCATCTAATGTTCTCACATCGCACACTAGAAGACACATGAGAACACTCAGAAACCACAGATGGACAATCTATATCTGTGGAGTCTATGAATACTATAGCTTATCTTTGGTAACTCCAGATCTTTCTGAGTGTAAATTGAACTTTCCTTGTTCCGTTTTGCCCTCTGATGATCAAAACCTAGACCCTACTCCCCCGTCTGTCATAACTAATCCCACAGACAAGCTGCTACAGAGAGGGCTTTAAAACACTGTGGACAGCTTCTCATTTATTAGATTTATTTGGTCTCATTCCAAAGTGAGGGATTTTTCTCAAAAAAACTCGGACCAAGGGGGGAAATCACCTAATCACATTTGCTGTCACTGTCACCAAGTAGCCTACATTATTGATGTACTTAACTTTGTAATTTATGGGATAGCTCTTTTATTCTGTGACTGTCTTAATTAAATACAACTCTCTGCTGTACAACTGTTTAGTTTTAGTTTTGACCTTTCATCCTTTATTAAGGTTTGAAAGATCACATCCTGCACTGTTCATTTAAAGAAAGAGAAACACATTTTACTCGTGCTCAGATTTAATAGATTTATAGATTACTTTATAGAAAATCATCAAAGTTGTGTTGGTGCATAGTACATTCAATTCAAAGCCGTCCAACCATTAATTGTCTGAGACTGAATGGAAGGGGGCAGCCTTGAATTGCTGATGCTGCTTTTCATATTCTGCATTGTTTAACATGCAAGGAACTCAAATAAAAAACGTTTACGCAGGCACTCAATTTGAAGCACTTTGTAGCAGCGACGTGCAGTCAGGGGAGGCAGAGCCTCACCTGTCATACTCCAATCAATGTAACGGGAAAACAACTAAAGAAAAACTAAATAGTAATAATAATAAAATGTCTCCACTGATCTGTGTTGTAAGTGTGATTTATGTATGATTCCAATCGCTTTTTATAGTCAAAATCAGCAAATGTGCCGAGCTCCGCTACAACTACGGGTAGCGATGAGAAGTGAGGCAGGGACGA